CGTTTGGCGCCAAAGCTGGCCGCCAGATCATGCCCATGTGGCTGGATCATCTCAGAGACTGTTTCTTCCGCGTTGCCGAAATTGTCAATTTCCTCCATTGCCTGGGCGTCAAGTCCATCTCCGCGCAGTGCGGACGTCCAGCGAGCGCGAGGGTCGCCGTCGCCGAGGGCCCAGTCACCTGCCGAGGTGTCCGTCCACCAAGACTCGTCGTCCCAGCCGTACTGGGGTGCGTAGCCAGACGCGCAATAGCCGTAGGGGCCTAGCTCCTCAGGGTAATGCTTCTCCTGCTCGTGCCAGCTGTCGTCGGCAGCGCGGTGTGCCTGTGGCAGCCTTGAGCATCTGGCCTTGCCCTTGCCCTTGCTAAGGTTTCGGGGCGTCCTCTGAGTGATTGCGGGTGGAGCTCTTACCCGAATCTCCCTTGCACTTTTGTCGGGTGTGGATACAACCGTATTGAAGGACCAAGACGTCCTTGACCGTGCCGAAACTGGTCACATTACCAGTTGGTGACATTACCATCAATTCACCGTAGGTGAGGGTCCTGCATGGTCCAAGAGATAAGATCCAAGCATATCGTCACCCATCACGAGGTTCGGGAAGAGTTTAGAGACAAGCTCCCACAAGCGCTGTCAGCGCGATATGCACGGAGCATAGACTGACCGCACTGTCGAGACGTTGGCCCGCAGGGTCTCAATCCTACTTGGAAGAGGATCTTGGCTTCCTCAGTCTCTATGGGGAAGAGCGAGGTACGCATCGTGTGTATCGGTAAGTCGATGCCTGTTTTAGTCAGAAGCGTGTCTTCACCGATACCCATGGCTATATCGATCGCGTTGCCTCTGAGGCCCTCTATCACGTTACTGACAGCTGCGGTGACAGCGCGTGGCAGAGACTTTCCCGTTCCAAGAGTAACGGAGGCCAACGCAGCACTCATGCACATCTCTGTGCGGAATTCACACTCATGGAAGTTGCGCACAGTACCGTCGTAGATGTAAGAACCACTCTTCGTCTCTGACCATGCCAGCGAATCAGATGTTGGTCGACAACGAAGAGAAGACAGTGCCATGGCGTAGGCACGTAGCAAGACAGTCTACAGTCCCCTTGCCAGGGTCACTGCTTGACCAAGTACAATTGATCGTGAAGAACCCTCTATGAAGAGAGACGGGTCCTGCGCGCCAGTGCGGCCGCCGAAAACCGTATGGCAGGCTCCGCTGCCACTGTGATGTATGATACTTGTTGTGCCTTGGCAAAAGGGGGCCCTTGAGGGTCAAACGGCAGCGAATGGCGCACGCACGTGTCATGCACACACACACAAACACTATATCGCAACTGCTTTCAAGGTTCAAACGCACCCCATATGGCCCTGCCCGAGAAGCCTCCCAATACGCTTCGCGCCCTTCTCAAAATTCTTGGTCGAAGGAACGCCGGTCAACCGCCAGACTTTCCAGGTGACGAGGTAGAGGTGGGTCCTGTACCGCGGCGGCCCGCGCGGCCTCTTGGAGGGCCCAGGATGCCCAAAACTTATCCAAGAGACCCCCAAAAGTTCTGGCGGCTGCCCTTTCGAGTTTTGGGGGGCCTTTGAAAAGCCGCCTGGCGCTCTGGAGCTCCTACGTAACCCCAAAGCACCAGAGACAGAGGTTTGTAAGCTTCGGGTGGAGGGCTTGAAGCCCAAAACTCCGGAGTTTCAAATTTAAAACTCTGGGTCCCCGAGCTTTTCCACCAAGACGGCCCACGTGGGCCCCAAAGCGACCTCAGAACCCGCCCGAAAAGACGCCCCCTAATATGTGACTCCATCGAGCCTCTTCCAGAGAGCTCGGCGGAACCGTTGCGCCCTTGACGGCCTCGAGATCCTCCTCCTCCTCCTCCTCCTTCTCCTCCTCCTCCTCCTTTTTCTCGTTTTCCTTATCCGCTTGCTCCTCCTCCACCTGCTCCTCTTCCTCCTCCTCTTCTGTTTCCTTTTCCTATTCCTTCTCCTCCTCCTTCTTCTCATCCTTCTCTCTCTCCTCCTCCTCCTCCTCCTCCTCCTCCTCCTCCTCCTCCTCCTCCTCCTCTTCCTCCTCCTCATCCTCCTCCTCATCATCATCATCCATCTCCTCATCCGCTTGCTCCTCCTCCTCCTCCTCCTTCTTCTGCTCCTTTTTCTACTTATTCTCTTTCAATCCGCTTGCTCCTCCTGCTCCTCCTCCTGCTCCTCCTCCTTTGTTTCCTTTCCAATGTTTCTTTTCCCCCGGGCGGCCCCCAGTTGGCCCCCACCTGCCCTGAAGCCTGCTCCCAGCAGGCCCCCAGGACCCAAGAAGTCCGCAGAGGCTCCAACGAGGGGCTCCCAAGAGTGGGGGAGGAAGGTAGGGGACGGGGGGAGGAAAGAGGGAAGGCTGCGGAGAACGGGGGCCACTGAAGACTTGCGCGGTTTGAGACCGAGCGCAGGGCTGGAGCGGGTCTGAACTAAAGCTCCTCATTCTCCTCGTCTTCCTTCTCCTTTGTGACTACTTGTCTGCCTGGTTTCGCTTCCTGGAAAGAAACGAAAGCTTCAAATATATTCTTCTTGCGTGCTGAACAAACTGTTGTACTCGCTTGTTTCGTTGTGGCCCTTGAAAAGACAACGACAGGATGGACGCCTTCCACTGCAAGAGCTTGAGAAAGATTCTGAGGATACCACCTTCCTACTTTTCCAGAATTTCGAATGCTACTGTGCAAGACATCGCCGGCTCGAAGCCTCTGTCCGCGAATTTACGCAGACCTATATAAGAAAATCGCTTCCCATAGCGACGCGTCACTAGTTAAATAACTAGTGTGCGACGCCGACTGTGCCCCTAACAGCTGGACCCTCCGCAGGCGCCGGGGCCGCCCGAGACAGCAATGGGCGACGTCAATTTACACACTGTTGCAATTTGCCCTCCGCCCCCTCTTTCTCCTTCTCTCCCTCTCCTCCTTCTCGTCCTCCTTGTCCCCTCTTGTCCTTACAGGTGGAGCCGATACGTGTTCGTGGGACTTCGTATCGCATCAGCTGTCCTGCGACAGCGGGGTATGTCATCCCAGGCCTGGCTCTCGATGATTAGCCGTGTGAGAAAAAGTAGGCATGGTGCTTCACAGTCGTGGGGCGCTTTTTTTGCTTCTGATTCACAGTCGGGCGCTCTGTATTACTGTGTTGAGTTTCGCTTCTGCCTCGCAATCGAATCGGTGCAAATTGCGCACGTATCTGCCCACACGCCCGTCCGGAAATCCGGCTCTGGCGGCAGTGGTGCCCAAGAGCCGTGCCAGGGCTGGCGCAAAGCGCATGGGTTGTTTCACTCCATTTGCCCACGCGTCCGCCAGGGATGCACGGCTTCAGTCAGTCAGTCAGTTGATGGGGAGGCACCCTGTCTGGGCAAGAAAGCGAGTAGGTGTGTGGAGTTCAAGACCCACGACAGTTCGAACTCTCTGGGGCAGGGAGGGGACATGTCTTCGTGGAGGACGCAAGCATTCCAGGGAGGAAGGGGAGAATGAGGTGCAGTTTCAGACGCGCGCCCGTCCTGATCTTCGAAGCGGGGAGAAGAAGGGACAAGGAGCTGAACCGAGAAGGATATCACACTCAACCTCTTCCCTGCTGCGCTTCTGCGCTGGCGCGGTGACGGGATTTACCGCAGGCAGTTTCACAAACATCGATCCGCATCCTCCTCTTGAGGTGCCCCGGGGTCTCCAAAGCCCTTGGAGGCCCCTGGAACCTCGAGAGGCCCCCAGCAGAGAGAGGCCCCCAAGAGGTCCCCAAGAGATGCCCCACGTGGCCTCTTGGGGTTCAAGAGGCCTCTTCTTCACGGACCAAGCACGGTGGCACGATGCGCCCAAGGTCACTAGATCCGCCAGCCCCCGGTACTTGCCATTGAGGGTGCTTGGCGTGATGAATGTATTCAAACACTCCGTCGCCCTCAGCAACTCATGTGCACAGAGCCTGCCTCCAAGACGGCCATGTTTGCCAAACATGGCCTTCAAAACGGTTTTCGACGCCATATGACGTCATCCGTACGATCCAAGCTGGGACAAGCGGCCTCACATTTAGCGAATGTGCTTTCAAGGTTGCCCAGGAGGGCCCCACAGTGACCAAAGAGGCCCTCCAGACTCCCTCGACGGGTTCCTGTTACCTGACCCCCTCCAATCATTATTTCTCCTCGCCCTCCTGCTCATGGAGGAGAAGGGGGCGTGGGCGTGGGCCGACTTCGATGAGAGCACACGGTCGGGACCCCGCCCTGGTCGGCTCTTGGTCCCAAACTTCGCCCAATGCCCTGCAGCTTCGGACGACTTCCGCCATAGACGACGATTTGCCTACGCCTGCTCCTGATGACACTCCGCCAGCATCATTTACCGAGCAACATCGGACGATAATGATGCCACGACACGATTGGCTCAAGATACGTTTCAAACAACTACAGAGTATATGGAGGCCCTCGTTTCTGCAGCCCGCGTGAAACATCATGCACTATTGGAATTCTAGGAAGTATTGGGACGTAGCTTCATCATCTTGATCGTCACCACCATCATCACCATCATCACCAGCATCGTCAGAATCATCAAGATCCTCCTCCTTATCCTCCTCCTCCTCATCATCATGTTCATCATCATGTTCACCATCGTCATCATCATCGTCATAACCATCACCATCATCAATATCCTCAACATCACCACCATCAACACCAAGACCACCACCGTCATCATCATCATCACCATCAACATTATCACCATATTCATCAGCATCATCATCATCATCAACATCAACATCCTTATCATCACCATCACAACCATCAGCATCATCATCAGCATCAGCTTCAACTTCGGCACCATCGTCAGCTTCAGCATCAGCATCAGCATGGTCCTAATCGTAAGTATCATCATCACCACCATCATCATCATCGTCATCATCATCCCTTGCTCTTCAGACGAAGGGTTACTCACGCAACGGAATCAGAGAAAGTAAATCACATGGGAGATATTGCACTGATCGTCAAAGCTGGGAGATACGAGGGAGAGCACCGAGCCTCGGCATGTGGGCCGCCGCCGCGCTGCCGGCGGAGCTCAATCTCACCAGACCAGGAGCCGCGACCATGTTGCCTGGAGCGAACGTGGAGGCAGAACAGGCGAGGCCAGCGGGTGCGGAAATGGGGAACGATTGCGACGACCGCGTGCCAATCATGAGGACAGGAAGAGTCTGCTGTACGATGCCCGCGGTTTGGTGGCGCGAACTAGTGGGAACCGTTTGGGAGGCCTGGACGCGATGCTTGCTAGCACGCGGTGGATGTGAGACTGTGCAGAAAGACGCCCCTCCGTCCCCTAAACAAGCGTTTTACAGGAGAGGCCGCATCAATCTGGTCGCGAACGGACCCACGTCATAATGGAGGTGAACCATTAAAATATGATTTAAAGGGGGACCTTAAATCAAAAATGGTTCCGCTGGCCCCCAGGATGGCAAGCCAAAGAGCTCGACCCACGGTGGGCGGACAATTCGGGCTGGCTCCCAGGCCGTTTGGGAGGCCAGGAGGGGCCCTAAGGATGACAATTCGGAGCGGCGGGGGTGGCGATTCGGACTGTCACTGACGACCCCAAGCCCTGCCATGCGGCGAGGAAGGAGGTTGGTGACCCGGCGCGCCCCCCCTGCAATGCATGCGGGCCTACTCCTGCTAGGAACTCCTGCCCCCTGCAATGCGGCCCTACTGTTGCGAGGATGCGGCGAAGGAGAAAGGGAGAGGGGGTGGCGTTAAAATAAGAATTCCGCCCCCCAGATTGTATTCGTATGCCATACACGATATGAAATGGCCCCCCCTCTGGGGCGGGGGGCGGATACTTGTTGTACTCGTTTACCAGCATTACGACTGGTCAGAACCCTGGAGAAGCCCGAGTGGGATGCCTACCAGCTCGTTGTGGTCTGGACTGTGTAGGTATAAAGTCGCGTGGGTCTGAACGCGACGAACTGGGTATAAACGAGTCAGGGGAGGAGTGAGTTTGAGTACGAGAAGGTCTGACTACACGTGGGTGTGGATACCAATGGATGGGCACGCGCATGGGCGAGTCTGAGTTCGAATGGCCCTAGGCACTGAACACGCGAAGATAAAAGATACCGAACCGAATGAGAGGGATGAGCTGCAGCAGCAACAAAAAAACAGCATCGCTTGCAGGAGGATGGGGAAACGGATGAACGGACAACCAGGGTTTGATAATGCCGAAGCGTAAGAAGAGGAGGAGGCCGGGACGATAATCAAGATTTGGAAGAGGAGGAATGAGGGTCATAACTAGAAGAGGACGCAAGGACGAAACACATGCGAATGATAAAATTCATACAGCATGGGGACGATGATGCGCATAAACGTACTGGATGCGCGTGAGACATGGACATCGACCTCGAACTGGTAATTTCGCTACCTCACTATCGACAAGAAGTGGTGGTGACGAATTGCTCCTTGGACTGTCAGAACATACAAATCCAGCTCTGTCTCTCTCAATCTCTCTCTACTCCTTCCTTTCTGTCTCGCTCTCTCCCTCTCGCTGTCTTTTCGTGTCCTTTCTCTTTCTCAAACTCGTTCACTCTCCCCTCTTCTCTGTCTCTCTCGCTTCCCTCTCTTTCTCTCTCTTTCTCCCTGTCCCTCTGTACCTCTCTCCAGTCCATCGCTCTCTCTCTCTCTCTGCCCCCCTTCAGTCTCGGCTCGAATGCGTGCGCTCGGAGCGAAGTCAGGAAGCGCGAACTTCGGCGCCCTTCAGCCCAATGGGACATGCCCGAATCAATCGCACGGGGCTGGTATGTGTTGCACCCCTCCAGGCAACGCGCGCGCGACATGGCCCTGAAAGGTCCCCGCCGTGCGCCCTCTGGACCAGGGCAACCCAAACAACCGGGTAAAGGCCGCCCGAAAGCTCCCTTAACGGCTCGGAGACCCCAACCTCAGTCGCAAGGATAGATGCGTCGCCGCGCTACAGAGAAGCGGTGACGTCAACCGAAGAGTCACTGGGTGCATCCCATTCGCCCACAAGCATCAAACCGATCTCGACGCCATTTACCAGCGAAACCGCTCCGACCAACTTCGGCCCAGCGCGGGCTTGCGATATTGTGCGGTAAAATGATCAGCCACGCCATGCTGCGATACCCTCTCGCCACAAAAGGACCTCAGACCGCGATGGCCCGCCGGGGGCCACGGTCGACTCCGATGCCCACCAGGGCAACGATAGGGCCATTCTCATCAACCTGGATGCGCAGAGCTGGGGCGCTCCTGCGACCGCCGCGCCCGACAGAGAGGGCGACGGAACGTCTCGCACCAATAGCACCTCACTTCGCACGCTAGTGGAAGGCGACCGCCTGCTACAGCAGATCCGAACACGCGACGAACCTCTAACGCTCAAAATTCTCGGCCCGATCAATGCGGATGACCCAGGAGGTCGCCAAGCCACGCCAGGACATGTTCAGAGGGCCCTTTGCCAGCTCGAGCGAAACGAAATACAGCGCCTGCAACGCGTCGCCTAAGTGGCTCTCGACCCGGCCGACAACGCAGGCAGGATCTGCGCCGTGATCTGCGAAGCTGACGCTGTTGCGGTCGCGCCTGCGTTCGAGCTCAGGCGCCGCGCGCAGCGCCCATCGGCGGCGGCCTCTTCCCACGGGGGGAACAGGCAGGGCGCGGCGACGGGCGAAGGAACGCCGCGAGTCAGCCAAAGGAGACGCCTCTCGCGCACACATCGGCGACGACCCCTCGGACGCATTCGCGGGCGCACTGCGACGCAAATGCAAAACAACGGGGTTTCCGCGGCGCCGCGGCGCAGCGGTCCGAGGGCGCAGACTCGCAGCCGCCTTCGGGGCAAAGCAAATCGACGACCAGCTGGTCCTCTCCACCCCGGGGCAAAGAAGCGACCGGTTTGACGTCGGCTGCCGCGGTGCATTGATGGTCGGAAGGCCATGCTGCACCAAGCGTTCAACACCGCGATGAGGCACAAAGTGCGCGGCGCAGTCTGGGCGAACAGAAGAGTGGGCATCATAGTCAAGCCCGACACCCAGGGCGCGAAGCAAACAACGGGGAACTGACGACGCGCCCGCCAATGCGAAGTACCGCGTCGCAGGAATCGAGCCGCAGAGCGCCGCCCAGACGCGCCTCGCCAAGATCCTCTCGCCCATGATGCGGCGCTGCGAATTCCAGCGCGTCGGGCGGGGCAACGCGGCCAGGGGCGTTTTCGCCGTGGACAAGGCGGCCATCCACCCGCCAAACACATGGGCCCAAGTCCAAGTTTCCACTATTCTTGGGACCATCGTCAAGATTGAAGCGCCCACCCGTGCAAATGCCGACCCCTGGGCAAGGCGAGCGGCGGCGATCGTCTCGCCAGCGACCGCCGCGGCGGAAATGCCTGCTGCGGGGCCGTCCGCTGGAAGAGCAGAGGCAGGCCCATAGCCGTCCCCGCGGGGCCGCGCGGCCGCCAGGCCGCGCCTCCAAGCGCCGATGAAACCACTGCCAAACCCCAAAACGCCGCTGCATTCCAGCGCCTCGCCACCGGCTCGGGGCAAGAGGCGGAAGCCATCCTCATAAGACATGCAGTCTTCCTGGAGCCGTCTTGCAGAAAACACAAGAAAATGAGACCCTGCAGTCGTTCCTGGAGCCGTCTTGGAGCCCTCTTGGGCTGCCCTGGAGCCTGTTGGAGCCCTCTGCGGAATGGTCTTGGAGCCCGCGCCGAGGATTTGGAAAATGTCCGGGACCATCGCGGCGGCCTCCGAGGCCCGGGACGCCGAAACCCTGCAAAAACACAGCGAAAATGAGCCCCGGTACTCCCATGGAGGGGCGGGCAGCTGTTTTCGGGCCCCTGGGGGGGTGCTGGACGATCTTGGACAACGCTATCAAGCACAGGTGCGCGACGGCATCTGAGGAGCTTCGGGGGTGTTCCGCATGCTTCGTCAACTGGCTGTTGGAGGCACCTCTTGGGTGCTTCTTGGGGGGGCGTCTGAGGGTCCCTTGGGGGCATCGGTTCTTCAATCTGAAGCCGTCATTGGCCGTCTTGGCTGCGTGGAGGCCCGACTTGAGGCCGCCTGCGGCCAGATTGAGGCAATCCGGAAGCCTCCTGGGGGCCTACTGGAAGCAGTTTTGACGCATCGAGGGCACTCTTGGGCTATTTTAAAGCCTCTTGGACGTCTCCTTGGGGCCTCTTTTAGGCCCTCGGGAAGCTTTTGGGGTCCTCGTCGGACCACTTGGGGGCCTCTTGCAGCCTCCTGTGGGCTTTGTGGGGTGACCGCTCTGCTGTTGGGTCGCGTTCCCCTTCTTGGGCCTCTCTTGGGGCTCTTGGGGCCCTCTCGGGCCGTCTTGGGCGCCTCAAGCATCGTCTTGGGGCCCTCGCGGGCCGTCTTGGGGCCCTCTTGGAGGCCTCTTCCTCTATGTGGGAGCGGTACTGGAAGCCTCTTGGGCCGTCTTGGAGCATCGGGATGCCAAACGGCCGAAAAAATTAAAACCCGTCAAAGCCCAATCGAAAAACAATGAGTTGTGCCTCTTGGGGCCACCTTGGGAGATCTCTTGGAACCTCGTCGGCCCTCTTGGGAGCTTCTTTGGGGCCTCTTGGATCCGATTGGGGGCCTCTTGGGACTTCCCGAGAGCCTCTCGGGGTAGAAAGCTCGGATTCTCGGTTCGTGTTTCCCTTCTTGGGCCTCTCTTGGGGCCGTCTTGGGGCCCTCTCGGGCCGTCTTGGGCGCCTCAGGCACCGCCTTGGGGCCCTCGTGGGCCGCCCAGGGCCCCTCTTGGAAGCCTCTTCAGCTATCTTGGAGCTGTCTGGGAGGCCTCTTCCTCCTCCTCGTCCCCCTCCTCCTCCTCCTCCCACTTCAGCTCTCTCTCCTCCTGATCTTCCTCCTCCTCCTCCTCCTCCTCCTCCTCCTCCTCCTGCAGCGTGTTCTGGAAGGCTCCCGCCAGAACAGGCTGTGCACAAGTGCTGTCACTGCTCCCGCCACCGTGCCCTGGGTGGTGGGTCAGAGGCCTCATGGGCGTTTGGTTTGGATCTCGTGGTTGGCATGTCGGGGACGTCGTGAAGGCAGTTTCGCAGCTTCTCGGTAGCCGTTTTGGGACCGGTGTGGGGCCTCCTCGGGGCTGTTTTGTGGCCTCTTTAGGCCTCGTTTGGGCCTCCTGGGTGCCTCTTGGGGGCTCCTTGGGGCCTCTTGGGGGCTCCTTGGGGGCTCCTGGGGCACTCTTCAAGCGGGAGGGTCGAATT